TGCCAGCTATCTATCCTTTGACGCTGCTGTCATAAAGACTTTCTCCAACATCCACAGCTTGGACTGGAGAGCCTCAGATGCTGCTAAAAAAGGTCCTGTCCATGTGGCCTTCACTTCTCTTCCACAAATGGGGACTTTATAGCCGACTGGGCTAGTACCTGTTAGCATTCCTTTTTGGAGGCAAGCATGCTGGAGAAAGTTCCGGTAATAGGCAAAGACAGTGCATGTCTGGTTCTCTGATCCTGTGGCAGAGGAGACACGACTGGGATAGTTTGGAAAGAGGAAGCCTGAATTTCCCAACCAAGGAGCAGCACAGGCAGAAGGAACCATCCTAGATGGAGCCTGAAAATGAGGCATCTAGTTTCCTCCTCAGGAAGTAGAGTCCATTGTAACATAGAGAAAATTGTGATTTATTCACCAAGTTATAAGTCCTGAAATATGATTTTGCCTTGTATGTCCCAAGTCAGAGCAAAAGACACACTCCTATAGCTGTGCCCTTGAGACACAGTGTTTCTCAAGAGTAATAGATCCCAGAGTTCTTCTAGAAGGAAGGATGTGTGAGAGAGTTCCTAGGAGAAACTCAGACTCCAAGTCCTGGGCTTTCCTATTCCAGCCTCTTTGTTGGAATGTTGGCCCCTCTCTACCGTTCAGCACAAGCTTGGAAACATCCCTTGGGACACAGGACTGTACTACAGTTGAGCTCTTGGTCATTCTTTAAGGCTATGTCGAATCCTTTCTGGAGTTAAGTGTGATGAGGAAAAGACTTAGGTTTTATTTTTCCTCCAGCATTGACCTGAGGAAGGTTAAGGTGGGACTTATACTTTTTTTATCTAACATGGTGATGGTAGTTCTCTTAGTTTTTTAGATTCATAATGATGGAAAGGACTTAGATATACTTAGTGTACTTCATGTATGTGTCACCTTTATAACACCCCGGTTAGTGTTCATTACCTTATGACGTAGCACCTCTTGTGCAGAGAAGTCACATCCTTTTTGTAAGATGCCATGGTGAGGATTGTGAGCTCTGGATGAGTGTCCATCCAGGTTCTGCCTCTTACTGGTTATAATTGACCGCGGACAGTTGTTTAATGAAATTACTCATTTCTAAAATATAAATAAAAAAGTAATAACATCCTCATAAACTTGTATGAGAATCAAATGAATTAATATCTGAAAAGTTCTTAAAACAGATCCTTGCACACAGCTAGTGCTTAGTAAATGTTAACTATTATTTTATTAGCTCCTACTCTACTCTTGTCATTTTTGGACAACTCTACTAAAGCATCTATCAGATTATGTACATGGCAGATGATAAACAACATTTGTTTAATTCCATTTTCCTCTAGATATGATTCCAGTTATACATCCTATTGGCCTTGTTGTTACTTGCCCAGTGTCCAGGACATGGGCTGCCAGACATGGATAAGATGACATCCCATGGCTATATTTTCTTCTTAGTCATCACATTTGTTTTTGGTAACATGTCAGAATTGCTTACTGCATCCAAGTTTTATTTACTGAGTGTCCATTAGGGACAAAGAATTGTGCAATGATATATGTGAGAATGATGAAGAAAATGATGCTGTAACAATCAAACATTTGCAAGTATTTTTGGTGGAGAATGGCTGCAGCTTTCATAATTTATCAAACAAACCTCTGACCTTCCTCTTATCCTCAACGAGAAAAACTTCTGAATGAAGAAGGGACTAAGTTTAATGGTCTGTTGACTAATTCCAGGCTTGGTTAAATCCTTTCTTTAAAGGCATAGATATTTTTTATTTTATTTTATTTATTTAATTTTATTTTATTATTTTTACTTGAGAGAGAGAGAGAGAGCATATACACAAGCTGGGGAGGAGCAGAGGGAAAGAGAGAGAATCTTAAGCAGGTTCCATGCCCAGCATAGAGCCCAATGCAGGGCTTGATCCCATGACCCTGGGATCATGACCAGAGCTGAAATTGAGTCAGATTCCCTACTAAATGAGCCACCCAGATGCCCTAAAGACATACATTTTTAAAAGCTCTATGAAATATATTTGCTGGGTAGGGAAATGGAGCAATACCGTAAGTACTTGGAAGAAAAAAATGATATTCGAAAACAATTTAAGAAAGGGAGGAAAAATTTTTATTAACCATTTTTTCATATTTATAATATATCAAGAAAAAAAGGAGGTATATAAAACAGAAACAAATTCAAATGAAAATGACCTTGAAATTGGGGGTCAGAAATGAATAAAGACAAAGAAAATTTTAATTGACATTTTAGGCAAAATTGAAAATAAATAAATTCATTAACAAAAAAAGAGGAAAAAATTTCTCTCAAAAAAGGGAACCCCCAAAAGGCTATCATCAGATTTCTCAACATAGACCTTGGAGACCAGGAGAGAATGTGATGATATATTCAATAAGATGACAATGTATATCTTTACCCATCAAAACTACTCTAAGTGTAATGGATTCTCCAATCCAAAGGCATAGAGTACTTGGATAGATTAAAAAATAAAACCCAACTATATGCTTCCTTCAGAGGCTCGCTTTAGTTGTAAGGACACTAATATGTTCAAAGCGAAAGAATGGAGAAGATATTCTTTACATGTGGAAACCAAAAGAATCTATGGGTAGCTATACTTATACAGAAAAATATACTTTAAGCCAAAAATGGTAACAAGAGATACAGGTCACTGTACAATGATGAGGAAATCAGTTATTAAAAAGATACAGCAAATGTAAATATATATATGCACTAACATTGGAGCACCTACACGTGTCAAGCAAACACTAACAGATCTGAAGAGAAAAATGAGCCACTATACAATAAGGCCAAGAAGTTTATAGCAGAAGGAAGGAAACAACAAAGATCAGAGCAGAAATAAATGAAATAGAGATAAAAAAAAAGAAGAAGACCAGTAAAAGTAAGACTTTTTTTTTCTTGAAAAGATGAGCAATAAAGCTGGAGAAAAAAGAAACAGGTGAAAATAATTTTCATAATATATTTAATTCAACCCAATATATCAAAATTATTGTCATTTCAACACATGTAATCAATATTTAAAAATGTTATTAATATTTTGCCATCTTCAAAATCGAGTGTAATTTACATTCACAACACATTTCGATTTAGACTAGCACATTTCAAGAGTTCTATAGCTACATATGACTAGAGGTTAAATATTTACAGTGGCTGTGGGTTTGGAATATGACACTGATTGAACAGTTCTAAAAGCCCCTGTGTTTAGGCTTTTACTGACTCATGGGTGGTGGCCAATGCCTAGATATAGGGTCCAGCAGAAGGACAATGGAAAGCTGTACTATTAAAAAGATGTTCATATCAGGCATAGCACTGTAGTAATCAGTGTGAGAATCTGAGGGACTCATTAAAGTATGACATGTTGAAGCCCATCAGAAGAGCTCACTTCCAGCTTTGGAAGGATGGAATGGACAAGCTGATATCCTAAAGTGCTCACTTGAAGTGGCCACCTGGGTCTATGAAATGGGTGGATGTGTGGTCCTGCAATAAGGCAGAGGTGGCCTGAACCTAGACCTATTTCTCTTGCATCCTGTGGGGCATAAAATGCCAATAAGAGCTGTTTTGTCTGCCAGCAAAAGAGATAGAAACTGCAGATGGCTGCATAGCAGATTCCCTGTGGGCAAGGCCCTGACTGCAGTTGGCAAGGACAACTGATATCGGTAGCCCTGGGGGTCAACAATTGGGTCCTAGTTGGAAGAAGACACTGACCCTAGACCAGGCTTTCCTTACCTCGTGGTAGATGCAAAAGTTTAGAGTGCTGTAAAAAAACTGGAACAGAAGCTATTACACCATTTGGGGTGGGTGTTCATCATTTCTTCATAGCAAGTAGCACATTTTACAGCCCATAATGTCCAACGATAGGCAGAAAGGTATTCTCCTTAGAGTACTAGCTTGATAGAAAATTGGAACTGGCAATAAACATTGGTTGTCTAAAGTGGGCAAAGAGAAATGTATGAAGGGCTGGTTTATGTGCATTCACAAGTGTGTGCTCACACTCAACATGAACATGAGTAGGCTACAGCAGTTCCCCATTGTTTCTCTAGTGGATCTGGGGAACAGGAGGTGAGGAAAGATGTTCTATGACTGTCCAATTCTTGCCACTGGTATAAGGATTATTCTCTTTCCATATTACCTTGACTTTTTCACCCTATTTGATGCAGTAGTCACAGAACCAGGGTACATCTACAAGGGCTGGGTGCAGGGATGATTCCTATGCAAGACACTGTAACTATGTTTTTGAAAAAAATATTTATTTATTTAGAGAGCACATGAGCAAGGGAGGGACAGAGAGAGAGGGGGAGACAGACCATCCAAAGCAGTCTCCACGTTGTTAGCGCAGAGTCAAACATGGGGCTCAATCTCACAAATCATGAGATTATGACCCAAGTGGAAGTCAGACGCTCAACCAACTGAGCCACCCAGATGCCCCTGTTTTTAATTTTAAGTCAGAATCCCTGGGAGCCTGATAGGATGGATTGTACTTTGATCCAATCTGGCAAAGTTGGTTGCCTAGTGCTCAGGATAGTACATTAGTTCTGTAATGTATGTAACTTTGCCATATCTGAATAAAGTGGACTGATGGGGAGGGATTGCTAGACCAGTATCGCTGCCTACAAAATCGACTAGTGCAGAGCCTTAACTTAACTTTCTTTCCAAAGGTGGACATGGCAGGTTATGGGTGGAGAGAAGGTGCAATAGTTGAGGATAAGGGAATGAATAAATGGGGTTGTGTAATGAGGGAATTCAATATTACATAAACACCTAGAAAGAGACTCATAACAAAAAATGATATTCAAAAGATTATATTGACTGTACCTCAATTATACTCCATATCTGAAAGGGTGAAGCCACATATTGCTGACACCTTTGGAACCTGACAAGATCAAACAGAAGCCTACAGACTTGAGTGGACTTGCCCTGGGAGAAGAAGGTGGCTTTTTGAGAGGGGAGGACATTGGGGCTGGATTTTCAAGTGCAGCCTAATGGATGACTGCATTCTTCCATATGACCTCGCATTGGTTATGAGGAGACTCTTTTGCGGAAGAGTTTTCCCAGGGCAGCCTTCATGTCTCTGTTTCTCAGACTGTAGATGAAAGGATTTAACATTGGGGTCACTGCAATGTACATCACAGTTACCACTGCGTCCTTTAGGCCATAACTAGTCAGAGGGCGGAAATACATGCCCATGACTGTCCCATAATACAGAGAAACAACTGTGAGGTGGGAGCCACAAGTGGAGAAGGCTTTGAGCACACCCTTGGTGGATGGAACCCTCAGGACTGTGGAAAAGACTCGGACATAGGAGATGATGATGCATAATAATGGCATGGAGAATACACCAACCCCTAGGTACATCATCTTCACATTAAAGCGGATGTCAGAACAGGACAGCTTGAGTAAAGAGGCAATGTCACAGTAGAAGTTGGCTAATTCCTGGTTGCCACAGAAAGACAGACTAGCTGTGAGTAGAGTGTGGGGGAGGGCATTGGCGTTTCCAACCACCCAGGACCCAACAACTAGAAGGACACAAGTCCGTGGGCTCATAATTGTTGTGTAATGAAGTGGGTGGCTGATGGCCACAGCACGATCATATGCCATCACAGCCAGGATATAGCTATCTGTGTTACCCAAGGCTAACATGAAACACATCTGTGTTAGACATCCCCAAAAGGAGATGGCTTTGCTGTGCAAGAGATGGTTGGCTAACATCTTGGGGATGGTTACAGAGGAGAATAAGATGTCAACAAAGGAGAGGTTGGCAAGGAAAAAATACATGGGGTTGTGAAGGCGAATGTCAGAGTGAATGGCCAAGATGATGAGCAGGTTTCCAGTCACTGTGATGGGGTAAATGAACAGGAAGAGGATGAAGAAGATGTCTTCCTGTTGCTGCTGACCAGTAAGTCCCAGGAGAATAAAACCAAGGGTAAAGGACTGGTTGTCTCCTCTCATGGATCCTTCAACAGAAAGGGAAGAGGAATCCAGCATTATTAGTGAATTTGCTGTATGTAATGGTGTTCTTAAACCAAGATTTTTTACTTTTGTGGCTTCTGTGTCTATACTTGGGTTTACTAAATGCCTAGATAGCCAATACATTGTGGGGAAAATCCCTGTTTGTCAGTGGGCCGAATTTCTCTGTGTTAGAAAGTTTGTTAGTCTTGGGGTGCCTGGGTGGCTTAGTTGGTTAAGCGTCCGACTTTCGCTTAGGTCATAATCTCACGGTTCGTGGGTTCGAGCCCCGCGTCAGGCTCTGTGCTGACTGCCAGCTCAGAGCCTGGAACCTGCTTCAGAGTCTGTGTCTCCCTCTCTCTCTGACCCTCCCCTACTCACGCTGTCTCTCTCTCTCTCCTAGAAATAAATTTAAAAAAAAAAGAAAGTTTGTTAGTCTTTGTGGAAAAAATTATGAATATGTGAAAAACAGTGTATTTATCCATGTAGTCATATATGACATCGTCTTTACTCTGTAATACCTTACAACTTAATGGAGAAGGCAGAATCACATGCTAATTTTATTACACATGGAAATGAAAGGACAGTATTTTAGATTCTTTGCAAAAAACTCTCCAATGCAAGGGGTGGTTGGTACTGGAGCACTGTGAACAATTAGAAATTGTTCCACTGACCAGACCGAGAGTGAACCCAGAGCCAGGAGTTCCCTAGTGTCTGTCTGCAGTGGCGTGGAAAGTGGTACATCACAGGGCCACCGGAGTTAGATTGTAACAAAGGAAGAAAGGGTGTTTACTCTCCAGGCAGCCAATTTTGAAAATAGATATTCACCACCTCCTTCAATAGATTTTGTCTTTATTCCAAACCCTTAAATTTATGGAATCATATTTTTCTCTTTGACCTTGTCTTACCTTTTTTTATTATTTCTTCTGATGACCCATCCAACTCCATTGTGGCTTCATCTCCTGCTAAGCAGACTCTGGGTCTCTGTGTGTAGATTGTCTTTTCTTCTCATATTTCCATGCGCAGTTATCCCACCAACATGTCTGACTGAACCTCATCCTCTGCCCATCCTCCCTGAGTAGACAGCAAAATAGTTGAGAATTGTTTATTTTTATCTCCCTTACAGAGATTATTTAGAATATTATTTTACACATCAATATGTTTGTACTCAATAGTTTGAATATAAAACCAGGTTTATTTCATGGGTTCTCCCAAAGGGCATGCTAACCAGGCATTGTCACTTAGGTTATCCCTCACCTCTACACCTGATCTTGCTGATTCTTCATTTTAAATAATTCATACATAAGTTTTGTAATATATATACATAAGTTTTATACTTATTGTGTCAGTGCTTTAGCTTTGACCACCATCAATTTCTACCTGAAATATTGTAGTGCTCTCTTAATTGTTTCTCTACTGAAGAAGGTTCCCTCCTTTCATCCATCTGAGCTCTGAGGAATACTAACTGTGTCAAGAGACTACTAGGATAGTACCCAAATCCACTTTCTCTAGTACATATCCTTGCACTGAAAGTGTGACAAGTGACTGAATTCTAGTCAATCCATCGGTATGTTCCAGTTCTGGTCTTCCTCCAAGTTCTCTATCTCTTTGGGCCATTTGAGGGAATGGTGGAATTGCAGGTGGAATGAGCCTGTGTCCTTAGTACTCTTCATGCAGAAAAGTTACCCGCCACCAGGCACACCCACTGGCACTACTGTATAATAGAGAAATAACTTTATTCTGTTTAAACTAGTATAAATTTTACATGTGTTTGTTATTGTAGTCCAGGATATACTAAGTAATTCACTAGATTTTTCTGAAGAGGTCTCAACTCAGTATTTAAATCTACCTGTAATTAACTTAACTACCAATTCACAGTGTCTCCTATAGTACACATTGAAATTATATGGTAGACAAGGGGAAGCAGCTAAAATTATCTTCCCCTAAAAATGGTATGTGTTTTTTTTTTTTTAAATCTCTGCACCTAAATGAATATGATTCTCTCTCTTAAATGCCCTTTCTCCTATACACACAGGATCATATTATTTCAGGGTTGGGAGGGTTCAATAAGTGGAATTGGCTCAGAAATTATGGTTAACTGAAATGGTAGACAAGTATAGTATTTTAGAGGCAAAGTATCGGCAACATGACAGACTTAGCTGCTGTTGATAGGTACACCCCTGTTAAAACATAAAGACAATCTATATTAGTTATTAAAGGAAAAGAAAAAACACAAAACTAAATCTAAAAGAAAGAAATGGTATTACAGAGGTAGGGGAAAGATAAAGAACTTAGAGCAAGAGTTGTAAGCTCGAGCCAATGCTGTGTTGTCTCTGGGAGATGTGGCCACATATCCACATACAACAAGGAACTTATATTGAGCCTTTGGCATACGCACCTGAAGCACTGTCCTACCTAGGAAGAGAACACTAGAAGAAATTTTTGCCATATAAGAACTGAAAGAAAAAGAACAAAATGGAAAGAATTCACAGAAAATATGATTGTCTACAGAAGAAACCCATGAGATTCCCTATACAAATTAAGAATGTTCGGAACAATTATTTGATATCAATCAATGTTGAAAAATCAATACTGTTGTTACACTTTAAAATACATTGCAGAGCGCCTGGGTGGCTCAGTCGGTTAAGCGTCTGACTTCAGCTCAGGTCATGATCTCGCGGTTCATGGGTTCGAGCCCCGCATCGGGCTCTGTGCTGACAGCTCAGAGCTTGTTTCAGATTCTACGTTTCCCCCTCTCTCTCTCTGCCCCTCCCCCACTCATGCTCTGTCTCTCTCTGTCTCAAAGATAAATAAACATTAAAAAATACATTGCAAAATATTATTTCTAAAAGATTTCTATTCCCAGTAGAAACAGAAAATTTAAGAAATGTAGAAATAATTCTAAGAAATGAGATCAGTCAGAGAAAGACAGATACCATGATTTCACTCATATGTGGAATTTGAGAAACACAGCAGAAGAATATAGGGGAATGGAAGGAAAAATAAGATAAAAGCAGAGAGGGAGGTAAACCATAAGATACCTTTAAATATAGAGAACAAACTGATGGTTGCTGGGCGGAGGGGGGGGGATGGATTAAATGAATTATGGGCATTAAAGAGAGCACTTTTCAGGATGAACACTGGGTGTCATATTAGAGAGATGAATCCCTGGGTTCTACTCCTAAACCCAAGAAGACAACACTATATTCTAACTAACTTGAACTAAAATTAAATAAATAATAAATAAATAAGAATGAGGTCCAAGACTGGATTCAACAATTGTAAAACTTTGCTGAAGGACAAGAAGAATACCATAAAAAATGTAGACTTAAGCACTGTTTATGGAGACTCAGTATTTTAAACATGTTAATTCTCTTCCATTAATCTGTGATATGTTGCAATTCCTATCAAAATACCACAGGTTTCTTTGACAGATGGACCTTAGTAAAATGACCCAAAAATTCATGCAGGAGAACAAAGAGTGAAGAAGAGCTGATAGAACTAGAGGAAAAGCATAAGGAAAGAGGAATGCCCTGTAGGTATGAAAATTCTTTCCCCTGGCACTTCATATGGTGGAGTAGCTCTGACATAGGGACTGACAAATGAATCTGTGTAACAGACCAGAAAGCCTAGAAATAGACCAACTATTTCTTAGCAATAGGTAGGTGAACCAGCAGGGAGTGGTTGTGCTGACTGTTGGTAAAGACTGCTGGGCCAACTGGATGTCGTACATAACAAATAACACAAAGCATGAGTTCTAATTGATTGATTGTGGAAAGCAAAGCTTCACCAACTTCAGAAGAAATATGTTTATGATATCAGGCTGGGTATTGATTTTTTAATCCAGGCACAAAATGCACAACATATCAGAGAAAATGCTGTAACATGTGTCTACTTGTAGTTTAAAACATTTGTATGGGGGCACCTGGGTGGCTCAGTCAGTGAAGAATTTGAGTCTTGGCTCAGGTCATGATCTCGGGGTGGTGAGATGGAGCCCACGACAGACGGGCTCCTTGCTAAGTGTGTAGCCTGCTGAAGATGTTCTCTCTCCTTCTCCCTCTGCCACTGCCCCACCTGCACTCTCTTTCTCAGAAAGAAAGAAAGAAAGAAAGAAAGAAAGAAAGAAAGAAAGAAAGAAAGAAAGGAAGGAAGGAAGGAAGGAAGGAAGGAAGGAAGGAAGGAAGGAAGGAAGGAAGGAAGGAACCAAATAAAACATTTGTATGAAACAGACACCATTAAGAACCAAGAAAGACGAGTCATGGACTGGAAGAGGTATATGCTGCACACATTTCAAAAGGACATTATTTTTCACAATACAGAAGATTCCTACACACTAAGAAGAAGAGCAAAAACCCAGTAGAAAGTAATGGCTGGAATTAGCAAGTCATAGAAGGAGAAACTATATGGACAACAACCAAAATAAAAAAAAGTTCAAATTAAAATAAAATTCAATTACCATCCTTGTCCTCAAGCAGCTGACAGTTCTAACTGTTAGGGAAGAAAAATTCATTTTATCATTGGGAAGCAGTTATCCCATATCTAGGAAACCTGATAATTCTTACACCAGTGTTCAAGAAGATATTCAAAGAAAGTATATTTTCATACAGAAAATTTAGTAACAGATAAGTCAGTTATTTACAACATTAGCTTATTAATATTGTTCAACACTGAATGTATTCCTATGGAACCATTTTTAAAAACCATAATGTGATAGGAAAAAACAAGTTGCCCTAAGATGTTTAGTGTGTTACACAATATATGTAAATACTAATTTTTAAGACATTGTTTAAATGTTATTTAAATTCAAGTTAGTTAACAGTGTAATAATGGTTTCAAGGGTAGAATTTAGTGGCATACATGTAACATCCAATGGTGCTCATCCCAACAGGTGCCCTCCTTAATGCACGTCACCCAATTAGCCCATCCCCCCACCCACCTTCCCTCCAGCAACCCTTAGTTTGTTCTCTGTATTTAAGTCTCTTACGGTCTGTCCCCCTCTTGGT